AGCAGCAGCAGCAGCAGCTCCACGCTCACCGAGCCCCACTCGGCGCTGCCCAGCACCGCCGACAGGTTCCAGGCCAGGAACTGGAGGCAGCTCTCCTGCAGCGCCGCGTCCCCGACGCGCACGGCGTAGTGGTACCAGCCCACCACGTGGCCCTGGCTCGACTCGCTGGCCAGGTGGCTCCTCATGTACTCGGCCACGCCGCGCTGCAGCCCCCAGACCCGGTACTTGCTGGCCAGCTGGTGCAGGGGGATGGCCTGGTGCAGCAGGATGGACACCCCCCCGCAGTACAGGTACCTGGGGGGAGCGTGGGCGGTGACGTGGGGACCCCCACTCCAGCAGTGCAGTTCCCAGGGGAGCAGCCTCTGTCCTGGGCTGCGCCCCTCTGGGTACTCCCACCCCTTGGGTCCCCATGGTCCCCAGGGTAGCATTTCCCCTCCTGGGCTGCATCCTGTGGGATGCCCAGGGAAGCATTCCCCCTTCTTGGATGCATCCCTCTGGATATCCCCATCCCACAGTGCCCCATGGTTCTCAGGGGAACATCCATCTTTTTTGGCTGCATCCCTCCAGGTAACGCCCATCCCACAGGACCTCCATGGTCCGCAAGGGAGGATCCTCCCTCCTGGGCTGCATCCCATTTAACGTACCTGTCCCATGGGGTCCCTGTGGTCCCAGAAGGGAACATCCCTTTCCTTGGCAACATCCCTCTGGGCATCCCCATCCCATGGGGTTCCCCATGGTCCCTAGGAAAGCTGCATCCCCCTGGGGGACATCCCCATCCCACTGGGTCTCCAAGGGAGCCACATCCTCCCTGAGATCCCCATCCCACGGGGCCCCCACGCACCTGATGAACTTGTCGAAGAGCGCGGCGGTCTCAGGCGGCTCGTGCAGGGTGACGACGCTCTGGTTGCGCAGGAGGCTCTCGAACACCTCGCTCTGGAGGCTGAGCAGCAGCTGGTGCGTGTGGAACACCTTGGCCTCGTCGGAGGCGGCCGAGCGCACCCGCAGCACCGAGTCACTGCCGTTCCCGTTCTGCAGCAGCTCCTGCAGCCGCTGCAGCAGCGTCAGCGAGTGGTTGATGGTGGCAGCCGTGGTGTCCCCACTAAGGTCGGCTTTTTGGGCTGTGGGGAAATGGGATCATCCCAGTGCCGCACCCCAGGCGGGCCAGGGGACCCAGCTGTGGGGCAGTGTGGGATTACCTCCTGCTCTGCTCCCCCAGTGCCAAAGGGCTGGTTGGTGCCCAAGGGGGTGTGAGAGGACAAAGGGACATGGGGACGTTTGTGTCCTTGAGAGCCAAAAAACTGCCTTCCTGCAGCAGAAGGGCTGAGACCACCATGTCCCAGGCTGGGACGTGCTGGGAAATGGCCGGGTGCCGGCGGCACTGGCTCACAGCCCGGTCTGCCCTGTCCCTGCTGTGGGCACAGCGAGCCCCGGGCATTGCCACAACCCCCACATCCCCAGTGGATACACGGGGGTATGGAGAGCCCATGGGTGTGGGGAGCCAGGCACGCTCTGCCCCACTCCCAGGGGCAGGGGTCCCGTGGTCCGAGCAGCCCTGGGGTCACTGTGGGTCTGTGCTGGGATCCCAACAGGGCCTGGAGAGGGACCGGAGAATGTGGGATGGGGCTGTCCTGTGGGCATTGAGAACCTTCCTCCCTCTCCTCTTCTCCCTCCTGGCACAACTCCCACCGGCTCCCCAGAGCATCCTTCCCCCAGGAGGAATTCAACCCCATCTGTCTCAAATCCATCTTGCCTCTCAAATCCCATCTTGCTGGAGGATTACCCTTCCCGGTGCTGGCTTAAGTCCGGCTGAGCAGGGCTGGGGAAGGGGAGCAGGATCCCTGTG